TGCAATGTTGTATGATAAATTTTGAGTTAAAATAAAACAATCATTTCAATCGCAATTAAATCAGATTATTTGGTTTCTTAGAATTTTGTTGTGGAGGGAGTACAATTTACCTGGCAGTCAGCAAATACAATTCACGTAGTTTCCATTCCAGGACAAGAAGACAATAAACATACATATATATATATATATATATATATATATATATATATATATATATATATATATATATATATGGAGAAATATAGTCTTAAGGTGTGCTATATTCATGGGATAAAGTTCTCGATATCAGAGATAGAGCGTGTGTAAATATAAAAGTGAACATAGAAGTCAACACTTAGAGGCGACAGTCTGTTTCATGCTATATGCATTCGTCAGGCCACGTGTGCTGTTATTTTTCTCGGCTATTTTTACATATACGGGTCAGTGATGCATTGTGGGTAGTCTATTGCACAAATAATAAAAAAGGCACAAATAATAAAAAAGGCACAACAAGAAAATTATCAACAAACCACACGAACAAATTAAACCCACGTGCAACTGCAGAATAAAGAACGAATGTCCCTTAAACGGAAATTGTTTACAAAACAACGTAATATATCAAGCCACGATAAAATCACCAGATAATGAAGAAAAAGTATATATAGGAGTAACTGAAGGACCCTGGAAACAAAGAAATTACACACATAAAACATCTTTCACAAATAGTAAATATGCGAACAGTACAATGCTTTCTAAGTATATCTGGGAAATTAAAAACAAAAACCCACATCACACCAAAAATATCTTGGAAAATAAGGAAAAGATCACCAGCCTACAACAACCAATCAAAAACTTGCAAACTTTGCTTGGAGGAAAAAATAGCTATCATTACTTTCCCAGACCAAAATAAATTATTAAATAAAAGATCCGAGCTCATCTCAAAATGCAGACATGGAAACAAATTTTTACTACGTTACTTAAAAATTGAAAACGGAAAAAATAAAATAAAAATAAATAAACAAATAAATACTACGTTACTTAAAAATCGAAAACCGAAACGAGAAAATATAGAAGTAAAATAAATTGACCTAAATTCATCCAAGTAAATAAATAAACTAACCAATCCCGATAAAGTTACCGTTAGAAAAAACAAATAAAGATAACCAACCCAAAGAAACACAAATTAAAAACTGTTTCTGCCAAAATAATAGTTAGAATAAAACTACAACAACCAACCCCAAAACGGAACAAATAGCTTTAATTAAATTCTCAAACCAAAAGATAACTATTAAATAAGTGATATAAACAAATTTTTACTACGTTAATAAAAAACACCGATTAAAAAATAAGTAAATAAATAAATAAAATAAGAAACAAAAAATAAAATTAAATAAAAACAAGCAAAATAATTTAACCCAAATAAATAAATAAACGACTTCCGGTAAAATAACCGCCATAATAGACTACCCACAATGCACCACTGACCCGTATATGTATATAAATAGCCGAGAAAATAACAGCACACGTGGCCTGACGATTGCATATAGCATGAAACAGACTGTCGCCTCTAAGTGTTGACTTTATGTTCACTTTTATATTTATATATATATATATATATATAAATATATATATATATATAGACATAAATATATATATATATATATATATATATATATATATATATATATAAAGATAAGCACAAGGCTCATCATTCGATGAAAATTACAGAGTTAAAAGCAGAGACCGAGGAGATTATAACGGCTGTCCAGACCAAAACATATTCACCAGGAATTATTAGGCAAATATATTATAAATAATGATGTACACCCAATATGTACATGATATAAACAGCATGTTGAGACCACTTACCTGTTTGACCAATTCTGGCACCGAAAGTAACGCAAAGATCGACATGATAAGAGTGGACAGTATATTCATTGGAAAATACGTCAATATTTGCATACTGGAAAATGATTAAAAAAACATTTCCCTGGACCAGACACAGGAAGCAATGAAGTCACGATACTCTTCGCACTTTGCTACTCATATAAGCTGACATATAAAAGCTAAAAGACCAGACACAGGTCTTAAAGTCCAGAAACAAAAAATGGCATTTTCGTAAATATGCCAGTACCATGAGCTAAGACCCCACAAATTTTCTAAATGTTATAACTTGTAAATAAATATCAATATGACAATCTCATATTTATTTGACTTTGCAGGAAGCAAAACAAGGAAAAGAATGTTTTAGTTTGTGTGATTGTGTTTGAAGTAGATAAAATATTCAAGATGAGTGTTGGCGAGTTAGAGACTGGTTGGTGGGAATAATTTCATTAGCTTAGGGGCTCCAAGAGATTTTAATCCGGCCCCGGCCATGAGATAAAATATACGTTTTAAAGAATATGAAAACATAAGTAATTATACGGGTTTTGAAATTGGGAAATGTACCATATTAAAAATATTGTTATACCTTTAATAATTGGAGTTCTGGGTAAAATAAAAATAGATAGATAAGAACATTCATTTGATCCCTGGTTGTTATGGGACCGTACCCATAATAAAATAATGGACTATTCCATACGTAATAAATACTGCGCCTCAAGAGGAAGCAGAGAGTTCAGTCCGAAGTCGGGCGACCGGCTGATCGGTTGAACTCTCTGCCTTCGGGCGGGGAGGAACCCGAACGAGGCTATGCCGAAGGGCGGAGTCTGTTTCGGGGAGGTAAACCGACCCTGAACCCGTTTATACGGGTTCAAAGGGCATATTTTTGGCCGAGCCCACGGGCTTGCAGATCCCACGTTAAACCGGCCTTGTGCCACATGATGCCCTCGTGGGGGTGGGTGACTAAATACCGTTCCGTCTGAAGTCTGAGTTCCGTTTGAAGTCTAGAGTTCAGTCTGGAGTCTGGAGTGAAGTCCGTCAGGAGTCAGTCAGTCGAGTCAGAGGCAGTCCGAAACAGAGTCGCGTTCAGACAAGTACTACTAAACCTGATTGTTCGTACTAACACTTTTCTACTTCTCTGTATATATTCCTGTTTGTAATATATCTGTGTTATTCCATATCCGCCTTCGAGTTCTTCTTTATTGGTTCTACCTTGGACTATCAACGTGGTACAAGGAACTGGACCATAACACTGATAGACCTTGATTGCCAGTGACTCAAAACGTTGCATTTAACAATGCAAAGAAAATATAAACAATGTATATGTTATGTATCGCTTCACATCAGAATTTTTTCAAACAGAATACAAATATATACTACCTTGCCTTAATGCAGAGATGGAATAATGACTTGGTAAGGGATGGTACTAAACAGAAAGCCGATAAAGATTCTGTGATAAATATCCAGAAATAATTGACCTTCTTGTATCAGGTTGCACAGTGTTAGCACGCACTGAATATAAAACTCGGCATTGCGGGCCAATATCTGCACTGGAAAATCTGAGACTTTTATTGGAAGGAAAATGCAAGAAATTGACCAAGAAATTGGTATGAACATCATCCAGACCCGGTTAAAGAGATAGGATTTCTAACAATTTTATGTGACTTTACAATACACACAGAGAGAACAATCAAAGCTGAATCGGCCAGACATAGTGATCAAAGAACACAAGAAGAGAATGTGATTTCTTATTGACATGGCAGTCTCTGCAGATTGCAATGTATCTTTGAAGATCTTCAAAAATTATCAAAATACAAGGTTTTTGAAAAGGAAATTTAAAAAAACGTGGCACATGAGTGCATCAATAATTCCAGTTGTAGTTAGAGTCCTCGGATTGAGTAGAAAAGTTTTCTATGGATTCTTTGAAGGAATTCCTGGTAGCGCATGTCTTTAAAAATACAAAGAATTGTACTCACAACTACAGCTCAGACATTACGAAGATCTTTATCAATGTAAAATGTAGGCGTTCTTATTTTTTATTTTTTTACAAAAAATGATCAGTGGGAAATGTCATGACGCCATTTTTGATCTTTGGTTTCTGGTTGGGACCCGGAAAGAAATATTCATAGAAGAGAAACCCAAAGAAATAATAATAATAATAATAATAATAATAATAATAATAATAATATACACTTGTAATGAGTGGAAACCCTTTGTCTGGAATTTCAACGCACACACTGATCGCATCATCCAAACTAATAGTCAAGATGTAGTCATAAGTGGCTTTCAAATGACATACATGCTATCTTTTAGATATGATCATACAGTCGGATAAAAATGTTTTCTCGAAAAAACTTAATACATTCTATAAATATAAGGATCTGGAAATAGAAATACAATAGTGGCATTTAAACGAAATCGTTATTCCAGTAATTGCAAGAGCACTAGGAATGTTTGAGAAGAATACTGATAAACACATTAAGTAAATCTCAGGAAATCTATCTTTATCTGATATACAAGAGATTGTGTTAATGAGTACCACTCACATACTTCGAAAATTCTTTCAACACATTGATAAGAAAAGAAATTCATTACCGATTTATTCATTATGTGCAATATGACTTCTCGGTCTAACGTTTTATTTTTTTCACTAACATCAACTGGAATTACTTAGTTGGGTGTTGTCTCCAAGAGAAATGAAGTATAGCTCTCGGCATTCGAATGTAGATTCCATCAAGCTTAGACTCTAGGGCTTTAGTTAATGTCCAAGCAGTGTACCATACATTAACACCGCCTCTACAGTGGCTCGAAAAAAAATCTCCGCTTGAGATTGTCTGGTAGAGCAAACTTCCAGTTTGCATCCATTTTATTCAAGACGATCCAGGCTTTATCTATACGAAATATCAGATCCTTTTCAGCAGAATTTATCTCGCTTCCTAGGCATGAAAAAGATCCGACATTTTATTGATTCAACTGAAACAGTTTGTATTAAGACTTGCTGGTTTCTAAGCCTAAGTTTCAGATGCATTGACATAGATTCCATTATCGAGATAATGTAGAAATACTGTGGCATTGTAATAGTGATAGCTATGGTCATCTGCAAAGGTCTGAAAAAAAAGCGAAACTACTTTTGTACCAGCTTACGGCCTTATCGTACAGAAACACCGGTTCTAGTTCGATTAACGAAGTTAAGCAACGTCGTTTCTGGTAAGTACCTAGATAGGTGACAGCTTGGGAATACCAAGTGCTGTAAGCTTCTGGGTGGTGTAAAGGATACCGGTTCGAATGTGAAATCAGAGAGCCGAGTTCGAATTTATTCCAGTCAGGTTCGTTATATTCCCATGATCACCTAAGCGTGGTAATTTGTTTCTTGCGTGATCCTAAAAATGGTTTTCTCTTCAATGCAAATTATTGACGGGGAATATTTACACAAATATGCGTCGTCTACATATCTAGGTATCAAAATGATGAGTATTTTGGGGGTCTTTGGTTAGTTTTTGGTCTTCATTTCTCTCTCTTTCTCCCTTTATGTGATAATTGTAGTAGCAGTCTGCTCTCGAATCCTGTTTCCTTTGTATCTGTGTATCCGTTCCGTCAACAGAATGCGCGTGAGCTTTTATCTTTGAGCGACGGTGATTTTCTTAGCACCTCGCCTTGAAATACTTCCGGTGACTCTCGGAAACAAATGCTTCACCAGTTTATAAAAGCGATTTCCCTTGAACACACCATTTCCCATTTTGATATTGATGTATCACATTATGAAATGGACAAAGTCCGACAATTATTTTAAGACATTTTTATGTTTATACATTCTTTTTATAGATGGTATTTATCAATTCACCCACAGGAATTGAATGTGGCACAAGGCCTTTTTAATGTGGGTATGTCTGAGCCCGTAGGCCCAGCCAAAAATAAAACCCATCTAAGCGGGCTAGTTCCGTCAACCTCCCTTAACGAAACCCTACCCTTCGGCAGAGCTTCGTCCGGGTTCCCCTCTGCAAGCAGAGAGTTCGACAGACACCCGACCCGGCAGCTCACAAAGCGCAGATACTACACTTTGATCCTAGCCACCGGGCCGAGCGGGTATTCTTTTTTGAGATGGTATTTATCAATTCACCCACAGGAATTGAATGTGGCACAAGGCCTTTTTAATGTGGGTATGTCTGAGCCCGTAGGCCCAGCCAAAAATAAAACCCATCTAAACCCGTCCAAGCGGGCTAGTTCCGTCAACCTCCCCGAACGAAATCCCACCTTTCAGCGGAGCTTCGTCCGGGTTCCCCTCTGCAAGCAGAGAGTTCGACAGACACCCGACCCGGCAGCTCACAAAGCGCAGATACTACACTTTGATCCGAGCCACCGGTCCGATCGGGTATTCTTTTTTGAGATAGATATTTATTTCGTATAAAATACAAAATTGTGGCACAAGGCCGAAAAGGGGGAGGGGGTAAAAGGCTGGTCTTCACTAACTATCTTATACCTAGCTAATTTCAGTCGCGACCCGTTCATACATTACAATTTACTCATTCACCATAAGAACTCGTCCGTCACCAATCGATCCTCCATGCACCATAATACCGCATCCACTCTAAGGGAGACCTACAAAAAACGCGCCCCGTGTCTTCATAATTTAATGACCCTAACAAATATGTACAGAAAAAATTCTAAGATGAAAAATGAAAGGGGTGGGGTGAGATGAACCCAATAACGAAGTGAAATATTAACATAATTAAAATTAAACTTTAACTGATGTTAGTAGGGCCCGTCCAACCCTCAAAATATAGGGAGGCCACTGTATTCTGCCCATGAGACAAAATCAAGCAGCTCTCTCTCGCTAAGGGAGTGGGGAAAGGTGATAAAAAAATCATAAGGGCATGGGAAAATGTAAGGCTGACCCAGTCGAGATAGAAAATTGGGGGCCAAAAAACAAACTGGGGAGATTGGGAATCTCGGGCTGGATCATAACTAAAAAGATGTGGTCCGGGAGCAACACTTACTCGCATTAACTAGGTACACCAAAGCTTGTCTAACCTAACCAAGGGGAGGGCACCACAGGAAGCCACCCCGATGTAGGGTAGGCTTGACCTAAAACAGAAAATCAAGGTTAGCCCCGTTCACACGAACCAAGCTCGCCTCAGTCACCCACCTTTCGCTGAAGACTGTCGAATGCAAGCGTTTTCTATCAGTTCTGATCTTCATCTTGAGCTGATGCTCAAAGAATCGATTCAGATCCTGATGAGAAAGACAGATACCTCGCAAGACTTCCTCCTGTCGCGTCGTCCATATCACCATTCGGGCCGTGGCTAGCAGCGTGAGAAACACCATCCGTTTCACCCCGGAATACGGGGCGACACATTGTCACACGCGTATGCGCGATCCATGGGCACGAGCTTTTCGGGAGCGAGACGAGCCGTCAGCTCGCCGACATGGTCCCATAGGGGGCGGACACGGGGGCAATGGAAGAAGGCGTGCGAACCCGTTTCCTTCAGACCAAGGCCACACCGATCGCAGTCTGGCAAATCCGCCAAGCCCCATATGAAGGCCAGGTCGTTGAGAGGCAGCCGATTCCGAGCCAGTCGCCAGGTAAGCGAAAACTCAGGGTTACTGAGGTAATCCGCCGCTGGCGCCCAAGACCAGTGAGAGCGAAGCTCGCCCTCCGACATGTCGAGTTCCTTGCGTAGGGGATCCTTCGCGATCCTCTCCACTAGCGAACGATAGAAGACCTTCCTAGGGCCGAAAGGTCACTGGACCGAGGGACGGTCACCAGGGCCAACCGACACTCGCGAACGAAATCCGATTCCTCCCGGGGCCTACGATGGCGCTCGGCCCGCGAGATGGGGGGACTGATAGTGAGGCTAGGGAAGGCGGCCCTAACAATCCCCGTCATGACCGAATCACTTGTCAACGTGCGGCGTAGGAAAGCCAACCTCGAGGCATGTTTATGACTCAGCAGGTGTGGCATTCCCAGCCCCCCATGACACGGACGTTGTGCACAGACTTCTCTGTCGACCCGGGTACCGCGTACCCTCCACAGAATGGAGGTCAGCGAGCTCTCCAGCGGTTTCCTGCGGTCGTCACAGAGAGGAAGTACGGACAATCGATAAAGGACAAGAGGAAGATGTATGTAGCACACACCTCCGCCCTGCCCTTCACGGACAACCTCTGTCGAGCCCAAATCTTACCGGCGGCTACGACCTTTGCTCGTACTTCAGACCAATTCTTCTCCAGCTGGAGGTCGGGTCCAAACCACACCCGAGAATGCGGACAGGACCGTCCGTCCAACCGAAGGGCCCCGGAAGATCGACCCCTTCCAGGCGCCTAGCCGCAAGCCGGACGACTTGTCGCGGTTAATCTTGGCCCCTGTCACCTTTTCGTACCGATCAAGCGCCTTCTGCACTGCTCTGATGCCTCTGCGGGACGACACGAAAGCAGTTACGTCATCGGCGTACGCGGAAACCCGGGCTCGAGCCCCGCCGGGAACGACGATTCCGCGTAGGGCCGGCCTGCACGCCCCGTCCCTCAGCCGGCGAAGGAGAGGCTCCAACGCCAAAGCGTAAAGTAGGGGCGACAGCGGGCAACCCTGACGGACCGACCTAGACAGCGCGAAAGCGCCCGACAGCTTCCCGTTCACCTGTACCACAGCGCTGGGGGAGCGATACAGGAGGCTAATCCAGCGGCAGAAGTCCGGGTTCGAATCCGGCGGCCTGCAGGACAGCAGCGAGGTAGCGATGGTCGACCCTATCAAATGCCTTGGACTGATCCAAATTTTGAGATACAAATATTTAAGTAAATGCTATGTTTATAATAAACAGTATTAAACAATATTTACAGGCCTGAATGTCCAAGAAATTTTCATAGAAAATATTCGTCCTCCGACAGGAATCAAACCTGTATACAATACGGACGTGCCTTTTAACCGATTCGGCCACAGAGGACTGTTCGGTTAGCAAGGTCGATTTTGCTGTCTTTAAACTACAATCTTCCATGATTCTCTCACGTACATTCATACCTGCTCAAAGCGTATCCAAATGTAAACAAATGACGTCACACATTATGAAATGGACAAAGTCCGACAATTATTTTAAGACATTTTTATGTTTATACATTCTTTTTATAGATACAAATATTTAAGTAAATGCTCTGTGGCTCAATCGGTTAAAGCACATCAGGCTATATGACGGTTCCGTATAAAACAGAGCATTTACTTAAATATTTTTCTATTTATAAAAAGAATGTATAAGCATAAAAATGTCTTAAAACATTGATGTATGTAAATATTTTCACCTTTATCTTCTTTTTTATTTTATTGTTCATTGTCCCCAAAATTCATAACTCCAACAAAAAATATCATTTTTTCAACTTTTAATGAGAAATACCTTATGGCTTAATACCGTTGTATTAATAATTTATCTCGCTCGGATTAGATTTCAGTCCGGAGATCCAAGCAAACATTTTTTTCCTTATCAGGGAAAGATGATCACTAACAAATTCCAATGACTTTTCACCAAATCCGTTCGGGGTTCAACTCTCTGATTATCTCATCAACTTTATTTTATATATTTGGTGTAAATTTAATTCTTTCACCATAATCCTTCTAATTATTCAAAGATATTCCTCTGGGAGATTTTGTGATTTATTTCTAATTCCTAATCACCTCAAATCACCATTTTGCATTCTCATGCATTTAAAAGTTGAACCAGGCCCAACGCTCTATTGCAATAACAGATATTCTTGGCAATTTCTTTTTTAGAGAAAATATGCATAAAAAATGTAAGCATTCTTTATTTATTTCAATCTGAATTTCTGCGATGATCACTTATCATTATTTGAACTTTTTACAAGCCGACTATTATCTTCATCTTTGTTGTTGTTATCTCAGCATTTCGGCTTTTGTGTCCTCCAGCCTTCATCAGGTGTATGACAATCCGGTAACCTCCAGGGAATTCTGAACAGAACCCTTTATTGAATCTACGGTGATAGACTGTTCTAGTTCCAACGTCCATGTCTTAGAGATATCTCGTCTAGACCTTATTCTTACTACTGCTCAATTTTTCCGTTCACCCTGTTTCCAGTGAATACAAATACACACTACCCGGCCCATAGATTGAACTTATACATTACTATCTCATCAGATTCGCGGACCAAAGCTTTAGTCCATTAACACGTTGACTCCCATACGACCCACCGGAGTGTCATGGTGGCATGCCTGCAAGGTCCACACAACCCTCAGAAAGGTCGTTTTCCAATTTCTTTTCTA